GCAAATAAAAGTCTCACTCACTCATTAGCAACAGCTTTTGTCTCATCAGACTACATCTTCACTGCCGGTGGGTGAATAAGTCTAACTAACGTTCAGAAGTCGACTAGTCAGTCAGGTGTTTACTCCCGACAGTATGTCTGAAACGAAATGGATCAGACTGAGAGAAAAAACAATACGTATGATTTCCCTAAACTTTCACTATGTTTACTTGAACATCAAAACAAAGTATTTCGCATAAATTTATCTAAGTATGATAAACAAAACAATAATTCAGGGCGTTTCACATGTCTGTTGTAGGTCGGTTGTCTTGAATGAGACTTGACTGACTGCAATTACGTATAGATATATATACAGGTGGATTTTCTATCTACTCAGTGAATTAGTGATACTGGTGCATTTGAAATGCTGACGCTGTACAACTTTTCCGCATATCCATTTTTTGATACTCCATGGGACATTTTCAGAGAATGCGAGAATGTGAAACGTGATAGTCCAAAGTCAGCGGAGACAATGTGCAACTTGGCGAGACTTGTTGGTGTTCTATGCGCCTACTTCTTACCCTTCATAGTTTTATTCAATGTCATCTGCAATATGATTAACGCCATCATATTCCTTCATGGTTATCGACACAAAACCAGACAGGTTATCTATCTCGGAGTCCTTTCTTTAATAGATCTATTTGCTTGTCTTCTCGAGGCCACACTGAGACTGATACCTGCAAAGGGTATTCCGTATGCATCAAATGCAGCTTTATTCTTCTCAATATACAATACTTCAAGTCTCGGCTGCAAGCTATATCGCAGTACTTTGTCATTGCTATATACACTCAAAGGGAATATGTTAGTCACAACAATGCTTGACAGACTGTTAGCTATTCAGTTCCCTGTGAAATTCGGTAAATTACCACCACGTCACGCCTGGTATTTCGTCGTCGGGACCGCCGTAACAGCTGTTCTCATGATTATACCAATTATTATCGAGTCTGACTGGAACATATATTTCAACAGAATTGTATGCTACGGACGCCCAACCTCTGTGTTTCTCTCGGTTTATTACGGTCTATTTTCCGGAGTATGTACAATTCAAACTGCTATCGACGGAGTGCTGAATGCAGTATTATTACTGAAAATACATCTCTGGTTACGTCACAGACGTCAAATAGCAACATCGACACAAACCATGAAGTCAGGTGAATTAGGAGCATGCCTCGTACTGCTGATTATTTCAAGCACAACATTTCTTCTGTATGTCCCAGGTACTACGGCCTCATTTTTTGCAGTGTCAAGTGCATTCTCTAAAGATCCAAATGGTGCGCTCGCCAAGGTACGTCTTGTACTGAATTTAAGAGAGATATTTTTCATTGTCATGTATATGCAGTCAATATTTAACACAATCATTTATATCTGGCGAATGGAACAATTCCGTCTGTCATTTTTGTGCATTGTTCAATGCAAGCAGTTCAGGCGATTTAAACGATCACACAAACCATCACCGAAGGGTGTTCATCACTGAACAGTCTACCCAGACAATGTTCACAGTTGACACCGAATTGACTGACCAAGTGACCATCTGCATATGAAATGGTAGTTGTTCACGTGGACTATTTTCTACACTGCTTTCATCCTCTTCATTCGGTGAATGGCGATTGATTTTTACCTGATGGATTCAATAAAATCAGTCTGTTTCTCTTCATCATACCACTCTCCCATATTCAGCCTTTCCTTCATATTCATTCTCTGGGATATTTGAATAGATTGTTGTGTAACTACTACCCACCCATCATTATCTACATACCTGTGCAAGCAACTAACTTCAGAATTCAAGACCATGTCATAAACTCATTGTCACATTAGTAGTTTCTCATATCAATATACATATTGGTGAAAACAATTGTGTACATAATTCTATGGCCGTTATTCGACACAATATTGGCTTTGTTTTCAATGATGAATAAATAAAACGTTATACCTGAAGTGTGTACCTTTGTTCTACTCATTGTCTAATTCGGCGTAAATTTCAGTGGGAATGGTCGTGTTGGCTTTCTTCAGTAGGCATTTTCATTCTATAAATGACACATTCCACACATTTCGTCATGAGCAATGCGTGACAAAGATTTCTTGAGCGAACACTTAAAGTATGTTTTTTTGTAGTTATGTTTGTAAGTATGTCTGCATATATTGGGGAGGTACGAAATGACTTTATATTCCGAATGACTGATTTCGATGGACTGAAATACTCAGTGTCTGTAGATACGTCAGATCGCTGTATGGACACCTAGACGATGCCTGCGAAATGACTTGATGCTGTTTCCGTGGTGATCGCTAGCATTGGATTCTAACAAGTGCTTTTCATCCCGTCTAAGTCTTACCACTTTGAAGTGTCTCATCATAAGGCAATGAGAATTTCGGTTCAGTGTAATCAATCACTTGCATATTGAGAATAATTTCAATAATAAGCGACTTATGCCTGATTCACAATAGATGATTGTTGAGCTTCAGTCACTCAGGAGGCTAATGCTTCTGGTTTGACTGAGTCTGACTATGAACATTCATAATCACTATGATGCGACGACATTCCTCCTTCTGGTCCCGGATAGGTGGAGACTCATAACGTGTATCTTGTTGCTAACCAGCATCATACAAATGGCTGCTTTACCAGGCTGTACGCTTCTGAATATTTTACGTGAATTAGGGGTAATTGACTTTGATAAACTTTGGACTGAAACACATCTGCCAATTTCATTTGGATTTCCATGGAAGTTAACTTGATTGCAGCTTGTATGAGTGTAGCTTATTAGGGGAACTAATTAACATCACACACTCCTATGTGGATCACGTGATGCGGAAACCTTGTCACAAATTAGAATATTGACATACACAAAAGATATGTTTCGACCTTTCCCCTGACTGTCATATCAGCGACTGTTTCACATATATTTCAAATGGGAATTCGAGAGAACAATCCAAGTCTTTGCATTAAAAAGAAGTTTGTTCTACCTTTGTCTGTCCCTTGCTCTAGGTGAATTGTATTCAAAACCCTCCCACCCTTTCTAATTTTCCACCTCCTTCGTACTTTTATAATATTTATTTAAACTCTGATTATCGTTCCACTTCACCTTTTAAGATTTGACCCAATTTATTTATACACTTATATACATATACTATCTTTGTTATTCTTATCACCTGCATAAACCTTATTATCAATATTTTGTTATCATTATAATCATCGTTATTAATTACGTTCAAAACATTTACCACATTTTTACGAGTTGATCACGGACTGATATCAGTTAGAGAACCATTGAAAACCAGGGAGTACTGGACAGCTGCTGTTTCATCCTAGTTTGGGAATCATCGGCAGTACGCACCCACTGGATTCGAACCCGGGACCTTCCGGTTACAAGGCAAGCTCGTATACCATTCAGCCACTGGGGACCCGATTCAATGGCTCATGAATTCTAACTTCTACCAATTCGTGATTTTAGCGCGACCCCAACTATTGTCGTTGGTGGAAATCCATCCACACGTGACTTCTAATTGGACCTCACTGGTCACGACTTCTCACTAGAACTGCAGGAAACTCCAACCTGTAGCAAGTCACTAGCGAGCATCAGAATTTTCTATAGTTTGGTTTGTAAGGATTAGTTATGTTTTACGAGTTGATCACGGACTGATATCAGTTAGAGAACCATTGAAAACCAGGGAGTACTGGACAGCTGCTGTTTCATCCTAGTTTGGGAATCATCGGCAGTACGCACCCACTGGGATTCGAACCCGGGACCTTCCGGTTACAAGGCAAGCTCGTATACCATTCAGCCACTGGGACCCGATTCAATGGCTCATGAATTCTAACTTCTACCAATTCGTGATTTTAGCGCGACCCCAACTATTGTCGTTGGTGGAAATCCATCCACACGTGACTTCTAATTGGACCTCACTGGTCACGACTTCTCACTAGAACTGCAGGAAACTCCAACCTGTAGCAAGTCACTAGCGAGCATCAGAATAATTTTCTATAGTTTGATTTGTAAGGATTAGTTATGTTTTACGAGTTGATCACGGACTGATATCAGTTAGAGAACCATTGAAAACCAGGGAGTACTGGACAGCTGCTGTTTCATCCTAGTTTGGGGAATCATCGGCAGTACGCACCCACTGGGATTCGAACCCGGGACCTTCCGGTTACAAGGCAAGCTCGTATACCATTCAGCCACTGGGACCCGATTCAATGGCTCATGAATTCTAACTTCTACCAATTCGTGATTGG